AACCTCCGTTAAGTAGGACATAGCACTGTTAACTTTGTTAACTCTGATATTTTATCTAATCTGTACACTTGGTTTAGCTCTCAGGATGCACTGCTCTTGCCAGTGGGACTTGGGGGTTGGCCTCCAGCCTTTGGGATAGGTCTCCAGCCTTTGGGACAGGGCTCAAAAGCTCTTGAAGTCTCCAGGACCAATATTGTTCTACCCGAGAGTTTGTTATAATCTCCTCCCTTTCAGAGCTAATCTCTCCCCATCACAGCTGTTCCAACATCAATGAGTACCTTAGAGAGCTCAGCTTTTCTGCTAAATTACAAGTTTTCCTCTTTTATTAGACCATTAGGAGGGTTATTACAGCTCAAGTGCTTTGTCCTATTTGGATGAAAACTACTTAGATAAATAGCAATGAATTCCTCGTCCTCAAATGATGGTCTTTCTGGGTGCTGGTACATGATGTGCCCTGGTGTGTCCCATCTGCTGAATGAAGGGTGGGAGGATTAGGAGAACATGGTCCAAGGGCCACTACTGGGTAGCGCTGGGAGGGGAGCTGGGGCAAACATCTAAGACTTCTGGAGAGGTGAAAGAAACAACTGACAACCTCTGGACAGACAAGACTCAGGGAAGAGGTGAAAAATGGGTTTGTAGGGAAGCCTCCAATCCGGTCGGTTCAAAAGGATTTTTTTTTTAACCTGATTTCTAGAGGAGAAAGCCCTGGGTAGCAAGGAGAAATGGTGTCCAGCAGGTGTGAACATTCACGTCACAGTAGCCTGAAAAACTTCATATTGCTTTAGAAAACCACAATTAACCTTGCTCCAGTAATGTGCACCTGAACAGCCTGATGTGTGCGTCTGCTCCATTGGATTTCCTCTGGTTTCCACCCAGGAGGTGAGATCCACCTCCCTCCCCAGCAGTGTGGAGTTGCACCTTTGCTAAGTGGAAATCTGTGATTGCTGCACTGATGAGTAATTGAAATCCCCTGATGTTAGTTGCCATCTCTATTATTGTGGCTACAGAAGAGCTATTTTGTATTTCAAGGATATCACTGTGGGCGGTGTGGCCACATCCTATTTTAAGTCATGCAGGAAGGCAGCAATTACTCTTATGGGTTTCAGTCTACAGCATGGCAAAGCACCATTTTGCTAGTGTCACACCCAAGCTTACTGGCCTCTAGCCCGTTCCTGAAATACCCTTCCTCCCCAATGCTCAGTGATGATGACTCCTGCCCATTTGGTCCCCAAATACAGTCTGTGTGCTCTAATTCCCCCAGGGAAGGAGGCTCTGCTGTGCCCACTCACTGGAGGTGCACCTTTCCTTTGGGATGCTCCACGCATTGCCAGGCTTCACGGTCTCTTCCCACTGGTTTGGGCTTTCCAGGTTTTCTCCTGTTAAAGTTCATACCAGCTAAACTAAATAAAAGATTTTCAAATGGAGGTCAGAAAATTGCTGCCACGTCCTTTGTGAATCTGTAATTACACGTACTCTTTGTCCTTTACATCGATTAGTAGGTGAGGAACTGTGTCACCTGTGCATGTCACTGTGCATGTCAATGAAGCCAGGACTGTCCACCCAGACATGCAGGCTGAATTCGGGAAGGCCCAGTTACCAAAGCACTTTGGTCTAGTGTGTCACTCTTCAAATCTGCACATCCATAAATTCTATGGCCTTTAGTCCGGTGCTGTCACCTCTCAGAGGATCCTGCTGAGAAGATCCAGCCTCATAGGGGAGGCACTGCAAGCATTCTGGTTTCTGAAGTTTCTCAGCGGACTCTAGCAGAAGGTTTCTGCTTTTTTTCATCATGCCCACCCTTGGGAGGAGCCCAGGACCTCTCTGGCTGTTTTTGGCTTCCCCTGCAGCAAGGGCAGAGGTTCCCTAGGTGTCATCGGGGACTTGGCGTGCAGCAGATGGCTCCTGCGGGAGCAGAGGAGGCGAGTAGTGCCTCAGTCCACCCTCTGGTATGCCGTGCTTTGCGTCCCTGTGTCTTTTGCACCGCAAATTGCCAGTCCAATGCCAAATGGTGGAAGTGCCTGGTGGGATGGATGGGTAGGGAGCAAGGAGTGTGTGTGTGTGCATGGGTGAGCTCAGTCCATGTCCAATGCGGTGGCTGTTGCAGGCTGGTGTCCTGGTGGCACTGATGACAACCGACTGGGTGAGCTGGCAATGCCACAGCAACTGTGCCCAGGAACCAGCTTTCTTAACAACTGTTTTATAAAGCTGATTTTATTTTTTTCATCCTGGCTCTCTGCTCTGCCTCCAAGGAGGGGCAGACAGCAACATCAGCAGAGGTTGCGTGATAAAGAGAATCCAGCCACACTGACCTAAAAAATTTTATTTAGTTAGTTTATAGGAGGGCTTTTTATCAGTACTAATCTAACACTGTTATGAGAAGACATTCATGCAATCTCCTGAAAGTGCCTGGCTATGTGTAATATGCCGCATATAAAAAAATGCCATTGTAAATGTTGAGTCATACAGGAAGATAAATAAATTAGTTTCTGGGCTCATTAGAGCTGAAAGCTGGGCTTTTATAAGAGGATGAAGAGAACTGCACAATGCAGTTCCATATGGCTTATGAAATGTGTACGAAAACCATTTTCTCCTACCCATCCTAATTATGATATATAAATAGATTCACTGTTTTCCTTCGAGCACTTACTTAGCTGGAATCTTTTTTTTTTTTTAAAAGACCAGTGCAATCTCTTGTATGATGCATTTCTGTAGGCCCTTAACAGATCTCCAAATCAAAATGCAATGATTTATAGCAATAACATGATCTTTCACTAATTGGGAAAGAAAATGTTGCACAATAGGTGACAGTTGTAGTGAGTGCTCAGCGCTGTCAGAAGTCATTTCGGCATTTGGCTTTAAATTGTAGCTGGGATAAGTGTTTAAATAATGTGTAATAAGTTTTTAAATTATGTATATATATGAGGGTTTGTGGGAACGTGAGTGTGCTTACAGAAGGAGAGGGAGGTTTGCACTACCCATGGCCAGAGAGCAGACTGAAACCAAAGCACTGCTTTTCACCCAGTGTGCAATTTTGTCACATAACCTGTTGGCAGACGACTCCTTCTGCATCCGTCTCACCGCGGACAGCAGCAAAGCCACAGGTTTAATAGCAGCTGCTGGGAGGGCAAATGGGAGCTGGGAGGGCAAATGAGGGCCAACAGGGCCGGCTGGGGCCAAATTCTGGTGGGCTGTATCTGCTAAAGACTTGTATGAACAGGAGGAGACAGCAAGGAAGGGGGATACCACAGCAGTAAGGATGAGATGTATGTCAAATATATACCTTTTTATTATTCAACATTGAGACTGCAGTAGTGCTTAGAGGCTGACGTTTTGGACCTTGTTATAGCACATACACAGTCCTTGCTCCAGAGAGCAAGGAAAACCAGGCTATGGGACCCATACACAGGACAAACAGAGCGTGCCTCTGCTTTTCCAGCTTGTCTGTAGTCCAGCAAGACCCTCCCTACCTGGAACCAGTGGGTGATGTTCACTGGAGCAGGCTGGGAGTAGTGGAAGAATTGGCCCTTTGAAGGAGTACATAGGACTACATGTGGCAACGCAGTAAACAACTGCCAGAGAGAGAATAAATGAGTCACTTTTCTAGCATATTTGAATACTGTTTAAATATAAACATTGCAAATGAATATCTCTAACTGAGAAAAAATAAAATTGGATGCAAAAATACACCAATGGTATACTGCATATGCATATAAATACATTACATGGTTTGCACAGTCATTATGCGTCGTCCTTCCGGACCGACTTTCTACAGACTGATACAAAAGTTGAAATAGAGAAAAACAGAAAGGAAAGGTCTTCAACTAAACACATTGTTGTTTTGGCAAGTGATTAGCTTCCCAAAAAACTGGGCTGTAAAAACAAAACATAGTTTCACAACAGACCCATTTGTGTTTTCACATCATATCTACCTCACAGCAGGAGGGGAAAGACCAAGGGAACAGTGACCACCCAGGATGCTCAATACATTATAACGGCATTTGAGACCAGTTCCACCACCCATTCAAGCCTATGATGTTAATGGGGTCTGGGAAAGTCCTCTCCTTGATAAGGAGGGCTTAAGTAACATCCAAAGTGCTTTACTAGATGCCGGTGCTCAGCCCACACGATCCACTGCAATAGGTGGTTTGCTCCTAACCCTCTGTAAGCAGGGTGCCACTCCAGTGCAGATGCACTGGATGGGGTCACTGCAGAGGGGTGAGCAGCTGCTGGGGGTGTCGGGCACTCCCACCTCACGGAGGTGAAGGAAGCACACACTGCCCCGGCTGTACTGCTGCTGCAGGGCTAGCCGGGGCTCTCCGGGGCCAGTTTGGAAATCCCGATGCCCCTGGGCAACGCTGCTGCATGGGGCAGGGCATGCAGCCAGGGCCACTCCAAGCCCCAGATCTGCGGGTGCTGCAGCGCAGTGGTTTGGCAGGGGTCCCGGCATGGCTGAGCGACAGCTCCTCCTGACCCGAAACTTGGTGCCTCTCCCATCAGCCTAATGCAGCCACCTCTGCCCGGCTCAGAGGAAGGCAGATGGGGTGCATGCATGCTCACATGGGACTTCTCCAACATCTCTGAATTTTGGCTTCAGTTTTTGTTTCCCTCCATTTCCTTAGAAGACAAAAAGCTACATAGGAGGTGCCTGCTGGATCTGGGCTAGCTGGGGAGTCAGCGACGTGGCCTTCACAGCACCCTGTGAGGTAGACAGAGGTCAGAGCTCCAGGGCAGTGTCCAGGCAGAGAACGTGGTGGCACCAAGGAGACCTTGGAGGAAGCAGCCCCGGTCCTTGCAAGCACTGCTCCTCCCATGGGTGCCCCCTTTTCCCAGCTGTGCACGGAGGACAGCAATTCCCACAGAGATGCTGAGCACCGGATTAGGACGAAGTGCTTTCTGTAGGAAAAGGTGGCAGTGTGCGCTGTGCATGGCTCCAGGGGACAGTCTCCATCCCCACCTTGGCCCACAGTCCGGCACAAGGGGGTGCCAAGGGGTGCCTTGGCCTAGGACACATTTATGTTGGAGAAGAGCGGGGCCCCGGGCGACGTGGATGCTGCACTGTCTGCCAAGTAGCCTAGGATGCTTTTGAGTTCGCTGCGTGACAAATTGGCTTTGATGTACAGGAACGCTTCCAGGTGCCTTTTGCTGTGGAAGAGAAATGGGCAGGTGTTATCTCCTCCCACAGATCTCTGTGTGCCGGGTCCCTTGCGCCAGGATGTGGCCCCCACCCAGCGGCAGGAGCTGAGGTCCCCGGCAGGTGCCAGCTCAGCATCTGGTGATCCTACATGGGATCCAGAGCTGTCCCGGGAAGCTTGGGATAGAGTAGGGAATCTCCAAGGCAAAGGAGAAAATCAGACCAGAATTTGGAATATATAAATGGGCCTTTTTTAATAGTTTATTCTGTTGTCTGATCGCACTGGGATTGCCACAGCCTGGCAGGCATCCCCCACCCGTTTTTATAGGCTCAGGCTATATGAACCTCACCTATACAAATATTTGACTGTTTCCTGGCTCAATTAAAATTCCGCACAAGTATTTGCAAATCTGCTTCAGTGTCTCTTACCGGATATCTGGGTATGTCGTGGCGAGTGTTGCAACTTCAATTTTAATAGCACCTAAATCCTGAAGTCGGATTATTTCAGCCAGTTTGGGGAGCGCCGAATTCAGCCACATGGCTTGAGACCCCTGCCAGAAGAGAAAGTGGTCAGCAGGGCATCGTGGAGGTGCAAACCTCCGTCCAGCCCAGGAGCTGTGTTTCACCACGGGTGCCGCCAAGCCGGCTTCTGAGGCTGTTTCCTGGCGAGGGGCAAGGACACGGCAGCGATTTTAGGTGCCTCATTGTTTTCAGTGATGTTTCTAGCCCAGACTTTGCCTGTGCCAGCCTTGGAGAAGTTGGATTGGTTTGGTTGTGGTTTTTAATCTGCTTACACAAGTGGTGTAAGGTTTGCCTAAGACTGGGGTTTCCGCATCCACCTCGACAGACTCTCTTTGCTTTTCCCTCCCATCACGTTTTCCTTTCCTTGGGGTTCTATGCTGCTTGGCATGTGTACGAGGTCTGATGGGCAAGGTAATGCACTAGCATGTGCTGCTCTCTCCCAGCTCTGCACACAACCCTGCCTGTAGCATCTCCAGGCATTGCCAAAATCCTTTCCTTTCCCACTCAGGTAAAAGCCCCAACTGGACCTGTTTTCTGGCCATTGGATATCTCAAGGCGCTGGCTGCCTCACCTCCCACCCACAGCAAGTGATGCTCAGGCTTGTTCCTTCTCCTGTCAAACACATATGGGGTGGTGGAGGACAGGGCTTGACTTCACTTTTATGCAGGCAAATTTAGAGGTGTGAAAGGAAGGAGGTGATCTCAGAGGAGAGAGAAGGGTGTTTCAACCATGCAGAAAAAGCAAGGGTCTCTGGTGGAGGGAATCCTTGTGTACCAGAGACCCCACACTGCCTGTTCCAGCCCCTGCCTGACCTAAAAGCAGCAGAGTGAGGGAAATCAAGGGCGAGGGGGAAGGGTCAAAACCCAAACTCAGCATAAGTTGTACTGAAACCGGAGAACTGCAGTATTTAGCTAAATCTTCTGACCCCATTAATATAAACCTTCAAAAGGAAATCACTGCCTACAGGACAAAGGAAGATGAAATCATCGCTCTCTACCTGGGGGTGGGCAGGCTGGTGGCAGGGAAGCCTTCCTGCCCACAAGCACTTGGAGGCTCCTTTCTGCCTAAGATTCTTCCTTCCAGGAAATTAAGCTGAACTGGAAAGGTTAACGAGAGGCCCCAGAAAATTTATTTTCCCGTTTTTCAGTGTGCCCATGACCCATGCTGGTGTGGACATGACGAGCACTCACGTACATTGCTGGTGCAGAAGGCTTCCAGGTCGGCAGCGTTCTTGGAGATCTGTTGGGCCAGGTTTTGCTGTTGTGCTGGAGTTTTCAGGCTGACTTTCCTCTTCAGCAGCCTCACGATGTAATCTTTAACCAAACGGGCATGGATCTTCTCAACGATAGCCTGTTGGGAAGGAGAGGGAGATCCATCTATCTTTTGCTTGGGGACAAAACAAACCGTGTGGGTGGATGGAGGACAAAAACATCTTGGATGTTGTAAGACATGCCCCACCAAATGCCTGCTGCTGATCACACGTGAGGAACAGTGCTGGTTGCCAACCTCCCCATGACTGGTTACATGACATCCTAGATGCCGAGAATTTCTTTGTACTCAAACTAATGAAGTGTGGGAAATTCCAAATGTTGTTTTCTTCTGGGAAGAGTTGAAAGCGTGGAAAAGATCTAACATGCATTAGAGAAGAAGTAGCAGTACTCCAGAGAAACAGGAATTCACACTGTTCCTCTCTCTAATACACAAAACATCATAATTTTGCTTCAGCTACTAAGAAGACAAAGGCAGGAAATGAAAGATTTTTTTATGTGGTGATGTTTCATATATACCCCAGCATCACTGAAAATGTGGTTGTGGCTCAGTTATCTGGGATTTGTCCCTGTTGCATCCATCTCCTCTGGTCCTTAGGGCAACCAAAGGAGCCATGAGACAGAACCCTGCAATTGCATCCATGTTTCAAGATTGCTAAACCAAACCCATACAGAAATAAAGCCATATTTTAGGTGATCCCTAGAGCACTTTCTCTGCAGCAAGGGTGGTTTTCTCTGCAAACAATGCAGCAGAGCTACAGGAGGCTGCTGCTGCTGGAGAAGAGTAAGATTTATATGGTTAATCTAGGTAAACTGCATGCTGATGGAAATCCTGCCTGAGAGGGCTCTCCAATGCTGGGCTGGCTCGCCAGCTTAACGTGGGTCAAGGCAACTCCAATCATAGAGGATCAGAGCTGAAAACACAGTGTCCCAGAATCCCTCTGATATGTTTCTTGGACTTACGTGGTAGAAAGGGTCCTTTAGGGTCCGAAAGTCTGAAAGGTGTGTGCTCGTGGTTTTAATGATCTCGTTCATAATTTCATTGCTGGAGTCCCACTTATTTTCTGTAAACTTCTTATAAATTGGCTGAAAAAAGGGAAATCTGCTTAGTTCCCCCAAAACAAATTCTATGCACATGTATATTTAGCATTTCTATATGTACAGTATCCCACATAGTGACAGCGTGGCATGCAGTCCTGTGCAGGGACGTGTGACAATGACTTACAGGGGCAGGGGAAGGGGGGGATGTATTGGGTTTGTGCCTCCTTCTTGGTTCCTCATGATGAAGAAGACTGAGGGTTTGAAAGGCTCATATTGGAGATGCTTTTTTTATTTCCATATTTTTAATGTTTTGTCCACACCATCTTGTCTGATTAGAGAATGATGGAACCATCGGGGAAAAAAATGAATCATTATGAGATGTTTTCAACCACAATTTTTCTTGGCCACAGTAAATAAATATGAAAATGAAAAAGCACCCCTGCTCTGTCAGATGCCTTCCAAAAGGCCCTACAGAGAAAGCAGGAGAGATTGTGGCTGAACATTCCTGACTCCTACGCCTTCCCCTCCACCACACTTGCTTAACTTAAAAAGCTTGTGTTATATATATAAAAAAAAAAAAGAAAAAAAAGAAAGAAAAAAAGAGAAAGAAACCAGAATGCCTTTCAGGCCACCTTTATGAAGAAGCCAAAAGCTGTGTAATTGCAGTTCATGACATTCGTGATTGCTTCCTGCAGCTTGGAGTGTAAACATTTGCTGGTTGAGACTCCTTTCCTGCAGCAGTTGTTTTAGATGTGATCAGTGTGTTTTATGTTCGTCTGCACAGTCATGCCTATGCAGCTGCACCCGTTTAGCCTGCAGGCTTGAGGACCAGTTCAAGGAGAGGTGATTCAGAGTTTTCTGACTGATGCCGAGAGGTGACCTGCCCCACAGCCCTTCTGAACTTTGCCGCATTTGAATCAGAGATTTGGGCAACCAACAGCACGGCAGGGGAACATGCCCGGCACTGGCACAGCTGAGCCATGGGGCAGGAGGGTCTGGGGCGCGGATACGGTACCTTCAGCTGGGCAAACAGCTGTTGAAGCAGCACGTCAAAGCCACTGTTTTCAATGTCACTGAGAGTGCTGAGGATACTGGCTTTATTGTCATCCTTTTCTGCCATGTTTTTCTCTGCGTAGTCTCTGCAAGGAAATATTAGCAAGGTCAGAATGATCTGTCCTCAAAAGAGATATATAGGGAGAAATTCAGAGGTCTCCAAACCTTCCTCTGCAGGCAGATGGACCTTCCTCTGCCCACTCTGGAGTACCTCACCTCTATCACACCATCATCCGTGGCCTGCTGAGGAAGGAGCAAAACCTTCTCTTTTGGAGCCTTACCTAAAATTCCAGCAGTTGTTGATATTTGCAATCAGTATAGGCTTGTAGTATCTGTGCTTCTTGCTTTTCTCCTTAAAGTCTTCAAAAGCATCCTTGTAGCTGGAGGGGAGACGGGAAGAGGAGAGGCGGATGAGTGCGTGCCCCGGGTGGCTCTGCCAGCCCTGCTGCCCAACGCTGCCTTACCGCACCTTTTCAGGAAGGCAGGCAGCTCCCTCGACAGGCGATGCGACAGCTCCTCGCCCACTGCCATGCTGATGTCCTTGGCTCGCTTCTGGCCGCTGTAGACACTCTAACAAACAAACAAACAAGCAAGATCCATTTTAAATGCCGTCTGCTCCAAAAAGGCCATGTTCGCTGGTTAAAAAGGCCACAGATCCTTAACTGCGGTAGCTGTGCCCAGCTTTCCTGCCTCCCTATGACTGAGCCAGGGACCACGCAGAGCAGCTATACTTATTTGGTGGGTCCAAGCCAATTTTAAGGTCCATTTTCAAATGGGGAGAGAGGTGAAGAAGAAAGAAGCATTAAAGAAAGTCTATAAAACAGCTGAGAAAGTGGGGAAGGTGACACTTCGGCTTTTTGCTTTTTTGCTGAACGTCATATGATTGTATTAAAAAAAAACAATTTAAGCACAACAACCTCAATGCATGAAAGTTTTATTTTTTAAAAGTAAACTCTACTTATCCTCTGCAGCCAGAGGAGGGAGAGCGTTGAGCATGGGGAAAGGGCGTGAGCATTCGGAGCAGCTCTGCCTGTGACAGCATCCCCGGGAGCAAGCAGGGCAACAGCACCGTGCTGCTTCCCCGCTCAGCTAAACCTGTCTCTTGTCTCTCTGCTGCTACATTATCCAGCGCCTAATGGCATGGCTTCGGCCGGGGGTGCAGAAGAGACCACACAGGGAGAAACGAAGGCAGCTTTCCTGCTTGTTTTGCTTATAGAGGAGTTTGTCTCTATCACGTGCTAGCCCAGGACCATGCCAGACCCTGGGTTAGGGCTGCCCTGTACCACCCACCTCCACCACCACCTACACAAGCTACTTGGCCTTTCGCTTTCCTGAACTGACCATAGCTAGTCTCATACCCTAAATACAGGCAGGATGCATTTGTTTATTTTTAATATATATCTGTATTACCTGGATAACAAATATTGCTAGTAGTTCACTCTGAAAATGTCCGTTTAGTTTCTCTGGTTCTTTGTCTTCTTTCCATCTTTGGATTTCTTTATCTAAACATTTGCTCAGTGAATTTTTGACAGTAGCCTTTAGGGAAGGAAGAACAACAGCATTTACCACAAAGTGGACATAGCAGTTCCTGCCTTACGCAGGTTTCACTCGTCCACCCACCATTTCTCTGGCTGAGCAGACTTTTTCCTCAGCCCTGGCTGAGAAATAAAGGCTCCTTGTTAGGAGACGCCTTATCCACAGACTCACAGCAGCAAGGACAACCCCCTCACAATATCCACCGATGCAACAGCGAGTTGAATATTTCAGGGTAGGAAGGAAGATCAAGATCTACGTCCCTGCCCACCACCCCACCACGTCAGTGCTGATCTCAAGGGCAGGGGAAGGGAGCAGAGGGTGGGAAGCTTGCAGGCAGCTCTGCGTGCCAGAGCCCAAATTCCCCCAGCCACGCATTGCCTGTGCACAACACTCAGTGCTACCGTCTGGGCCTGGTTTTGCAATCCTTGCTCGTGAGCATTTCTGACGTCTTATGAGCACTAGAGAGTGAAACAAAGTGTTCCCAGGTTTTCTCTGCTCCAGCCCCTCTTGCGTGCAGGCTGTGCAGCAAGGCTTTGGAAATAGTCTGTACAGTGGCTGGCATCGATCTCTGGTCACCAAGTGCGTCGTTCATGTGCTTTGCAGCCCTCATACCCACCTCTCCCATCTGCAAACCATCACGGGCTACAGCTAAACCTGGAACTTGTCTCCTCATTTTCCAGGAATTCCAGCCCAAAATGCCAGAAGCACTAAGCTATGGGAGTACTGTAAAAGTTGCTTCTTGTTTCCATTAAGGGCAGAGTGATCCAAAAACCAGAGCAACTGTTATTTTCTGCGGGCCAGGCGATTCTCCATCAAAGAGACAGATTTTTCAAGACCAGATGTGCATGCTTTGCATTCACCCGAGGTCTGGCACTGCTGCAGAGACCAGAAGTAATTCTGAATCCATCATCTGCGAAAGGGAGCATAAGTCCCTCTGGGGATTTAGCAGAAAACTGGAAAGTTACCCATAAAGATTTGTTGTTGTTTTTTTTTTTCCACCTTCCTACCACAAGGTTTGCAAGAATAGAGCAGTTCTTTTCTGATGGCTCCCAGGGCAGAAGGCTGAGCTAAGCAGAAGTTTGCTCTGCAAGTCCCGTCTAGCAGAAAGCCGACCTGTCCCGCAAAAAGAAACAAAAGCATTCTTGCTTTTGCTTCTCTCTAGAAGGGTGTGTGACCCACAGCTGAGAAGTGTGCATGCAGGACAAGTCAGGGCTCCTCCGAGGGATCATGTGGGAGCGGTAAAGGGAAGAGGAGGGACTGAACAGGTTCTCACCTCTTCACTGTCAAGGTATTTCTTTTCAAGCTCTTTGCTCAGACTTGATGGCAAAAGACTTCCAAGCTTAACTTTTTCCAACTCTTCTGCTAAAACATGATCTTTTCTCATATCTCTGGAATGAAAAAGCCAAACAATCACATTTTCCAAGGGCAGTGTAATTCAAGACAGCTGTTGATGCAAAACACTAACACTTCTTGAGGATACCATTGAAAAACAGATGGAAATGTACATTGTCCTTAGTCCAGGAAGGATTTGGAGGGGTTGAATCTGTGCCAGGGGTGGGACCCTGAGCAATCCTGGGGAATGGAGTCATGTTCTGCTGAGCTCCTGAGCACCAGCCACTGCGCTGGGTAAGGGAGACCCGGAGCAGCAGGACTAGTCCCAGGACACAGACTCTCTCCATCAATATAGAGAGGTGATCAGATGAAAAGCTGGCATTTTGTGGCTAGCTGGGAATGGAGTGGGCAGTTTCATACCCTGCTGTCATGTCCCCACCACAAGCTGGCTGAGCCCAGTGCTCCTCGGCAGCTTCGAGGGAAGGGAGCTGCCAGCCATGGGGGCCTCAGGCCAGCACTCGTGGGAGTGCTGATTTGGAAGCAGCCTCTCCCTCTGGAGCTGCAGAGAATAACCCTGAGCATCGCCCAATTCCCATGTTTGCACATGACCCAGCTCCACGGGGGTACACCGCTGTGCTTCCCGCACACGGGCTGTTTCTGATACGATGCTGGAAGCTGGGGCCAGGCTGTTTGTGCAACCCTCCTCCTCCTCGCTGCTCCCTTCACTGCTGGCTGTGGAGAGAGGTGGTCCCTGAGCAGACACCTGGACCTGGCCTCTGGGAACACCCCGCGAAGTAGCTACTGCCCTGGCCAACACCGTCCCCAGCACTGGGCTGTGCTGCTCTGGCTGAGCCCTGCTCCTTGCAGCTACTGATTTCCAAACACATGCTGGTTCAGGCCTGAATATCCTGACCTAGAGCACAGCACTGGCTCTGGAAAACTTCCAGGATCAACACTGACTCATTACACACTGTCAACGAAACACAAGAAGGAAGAAGTGGAGGTGAAGGTTGAATGGCTTTAGAACAGCAGAAGAAACGCTACTGCTGCATTTACTGGTTTTCACCTAAGAAATGAGAGCCCTCGATTCTCCATCCAGTACTCTAAGTCACAACAAGTAATGTTTTCAGTTATATAACATATAGGGCTTGAGAAGATGAAGGGTGACCCTTGGCTGATGATGTCCTCTCACAGGGGTGCACCCTTTGGTTTCCTAACCTGTAGGAGAGCACAGACTGCGGGTAATGCCTAAGCAACCTCCTCCATGCCCAGGATAATTGCATCACAGGTTGTTCTATTTATTGGTTGCCCTCTGGTCCAGAGGGCTGAAATTTCCAAATTTTCCAAGAATGAGTTCAGGTCTGCAACTGGAATAGAGATCAGGGCAATGAACTGCTCAATTTACCCCACAAGTGAAGCCTTAAACATCTGTGTGCATGTCTGTTGCCCAGAAGCCTGAATGGTGGGGAAAGCCCTTGGTTTACAGACTCGCAGCCTTGAGTGTGTCCCTTCTGACTGTCCTTGCCAGCTGGTGTGCATCAGCATGATGCCAGTGACGCTAAAACCTAGCCAGGCACCAGACTGCATTGCAGTGATACCAATTCATAAATCAAGCAAATGTCTGGTTTGCAGCCAGTGAACATGTGTTGATCACCAGGGATAAACATGTGTAAAAGCCTCACTTACTTTGGATAAATGTTGTGCACCCATGAGAGGAGGAGGTAAATATCCTTGTCTTCCAGATGAGACTCAGCATTTTTCTTCACCTGGGAGGCAAAATAATTGTGGTAGAGTTCTGCATATGTGCTGAACACATTAAACTCAGGAGGATAAAGCTGTTTAATGTACTTTACAACTACTGTCAAATCTTCTTTCATTGTCTTCCCCATGTGCAGGAGGTTCTGTCCAACTGCAGAGAGGTTCTCAGTTCTAGGAGTACGGCTTGTGTCTTTCATTCGAGTCTCTACCGACTCCTTTATTGTAGCCATCCAAAGCTCTTTCCATTTTCTAGGTCTAAATTGCATGTTTTGGTCAGGTGGATTCTCCAACGTGTAGTTCTGATCTTCTTTCTCCTGCTCTTTCAGCGCATCTACTGCCTGCTGCAGCAGTTCTGGGTTTGTTTTTGCTAGCAGTAGGGAGTCTTTCAAGATGCTGAAGACTTTGTGCTTCAGAACTTCATAGACGGACTCGATGTCTTGCTGGCTGGTGTTCAGTCCCTCCTCACTTTTGCTAGACAGGCTCTTCTCCAGGACAATCAGATGCTGAGCAGCATCGCAAAGCCTTTGCTCTTCAAGGAGATCCATGATTTGTTTGACTGGTGAAAAAAGAACAGCCTTTCTTTATCCAATAGTCAAGATTTAAATTTCTATTTTATATAAAATGAAGGCTCTGGAATACTTTAAAAAAAAAAGTTTGTATTTCTATAATGCTAGATCTTAGGCTCCTTCACTATATAAAAAATCGTTCCATTTATTTAAAGATCAGATTATTTCTAGCCTGCCTCTAACTGGGGCAATGGAAATTTGATTACCTAGCACAGTGTTTCATATGGACAGATATTCATGTGCTACCCATCATTTTTCCAACATTTAGATTTGGGGGTGTGTGTGGGTGGGTGTGTGTGTGGGGGGGTGTGTGTGTGTATTTATTTATTTATTTATTTATTAATTATCCCTCTTCCCGTTAATATGACTTCTAGTAAGAAGCATGGCTTTAGAAAAAAATGTAGACTGAAAAATGTAGCTAAATAAGATATGCTAGAGGAAATACCACGTGGGTTTTCCAGAAATAGGTTGGCACAATCTGACCTGTGAAATTTTTTTGGAGGACACATTTAGCAGGCAAGATAAATACAATTGAACTATCTTGTCTGAACTACAGCCAGTTACTTGATACAGTGCAATCTGGGAAATTGTTAGTTAACTGGAGAAGTTATATCCCAAAATAAGTTTTATTAGGTGTGTAAGGTTTGTATGGAAGGCCCTGGGTGGAGAAAGCGTACATTATTCATGAAACTCATCTTGCTTCATATTCTCCTTAGAGACTGCGGCACAAAAGCTGGGAGTGCCCTGTTGGCATCTGCTGATTACACAAAGTTCAGAGACATTATCGAAACTGAGGGCTTGGTGTATTATACAGGAACAACAGGATAACTTGAATAGTAAATGGGCTGAAATTTAATAGCACAAAGTATAAGATACAAATTCAATAGAACAAAAGTTACTTAGCAACAAATAGGATTTTCTGCTGCAAGCTGGATGTGAATCAGCTTGAGATGGAGGAGGAAGAGAGATACCTGGAGAATTAGTAAATCATTACTGTGAGATGATGGTGAAAATGTCAGATACAACCCCAGGAGGTACCCAGTGAGGAATGTCCAGCTGAGATCAGAAAATGGTTAACATATTGTACCAGGCATTGGTGGTATCTCATCTGGAATATTTTCTGCAATTCTGGTTGCCTTATTTCAAAAAAAGACATTGGGAATGGGGCAATGCAGCAGTAAGAACAAGGACACGAAGGCCCTGTTACCAGTAGACTTGGTTAATTTAGTTGAGCAAATTCAAGGCCGAGAAGGAAAACCACCAGTTAGGGAAACCATTTGACACATGGAGAAAAAGAAGCCAATTAGCCAGGTAAAGGCTTGTCTGGAAATGAGATAATTTGTATTGAAACAGTGAGACTTTGGAAAAGCCCCCCATTAAAGGAGGTAGGGCTAAAAAATGAACTTATTTTAAGGTACAGCTTGCTGAGTTTATGAACCAGGTAATGAGATATGTCACCTGAGGTGGCAGGTGAGCCTTTGAAGTGCCAAGGGGCACTTTTGTCTCCAGTTCTGGGTTTCTCTGAGCAGGTATTTTTTCACCTCTCTAAGCACCCTGCAGGGATGGTGCCCACGACTGGAGGAGCTGTACGTTCATATATCAGCTCTGGGAAAGACCTATGCGTGCTGTTCACTGCTGTCCCAGGGGAAAGAGGAGATTTCACAGGGTGGTGGTTTCATGGAGGAACAGAGCAGAGAGGTATGCCTTGGTTTCTTACCCACCCACAGATCTCTGTGCTGTAGAAGGTAGAAATAAATTTCATTTTGGACAGAAAACCTGCAAACTGGCAGTTTCTCAAGGAGTGTGCCCTTGGTACCAAAGGACCAGGACTTGAGGTCATATTCCCCTCAGCCCATGTTTCCCCAGGCTCCTTGGCCAAGTCACTTTAATCTGTCAGTGCCCTTGTTTCTCAAGGGGACAATTCTCCACCTCGTGCAGCCCCTCTAGAGGTAACTATGGCCTATGAGGTGGTGCAAGGAGCATGGATGAGCACTTACCACTGGGTGGCTTGGTCTTTTTCATCTTCTTAAGTGCACTTGTAAGCATTCCCTTTATTCCTTTCTTCCCCTTTTCAGGGCTGTCCCCAGCAGAGGTGCAGCTCCCATTGCTCGTGATGGAAGATGCACGTGAGGGTCTGCAGGCTGCCTCTGGCCTTTCACTTTTCATCTTCTCCTGGTCTCTGGACCAGTTCGCATCTCCAGAAGGTTCAGGACACGCAGGGACCTGCTCAGCTACTGATGTCAAAGGGTTTTCAAGCTGTGTGTTTGCACCAATGCAACCCTCTGATCCATTGCGTATTCCAATAGGACCACTTTGGAAAAAAGGTAACATTTTCATCATTTTCCTTCTAGCCTGTAAATTCCAGAAAGAACTGGTCAGATAACAACAGTTTGCATAAAAACTACCACGGCACAATGTGGCAAGGTGTATTCCCATTAACAAAAATGAATTCTGGAGTGAGTTGTCCCTGTGTGGGTGGTGTGGGGAGCGCTACACACGTCTGGTAGGAGCACAGCTCTGCAGGAGAGCTCCTGAGCAACGTCACCTCAGGTAACTGCGAGGATGGAAGCAGCTTTCTGATCTAATAAATAACAGAGAAAATCGATGAGTGATTTTAAGGGTGATTCAAATGGCCTGATTTGAGACCTCGAGCTTGTCTGGATAGAGGAGAGCAGGGCTCTCCCACGGGATGCTGTGGCAGTACAGATGTGAGCATGGATGTTGTACATGAATGATGTGGGTGGGTGGGACAAGCGTCCTGTGCCTATTCAAAGCAACCATGAAACTCCCATACCTTTATATGGCATCGGGATCAATTCCCACCTTCCTCAAGGCCTGTTTTTGCTGATCTCTGCTCATCTGGCTGCAGATCTGTTTGTGGAAGCACCCATGTAGCTACTTGCACACTGAGTTTGCAAGTACAGCATGAAAATGAGACGAGCTTACCAAGTCAGGTGTTCGTCAGTCTTTTTGCTGAGCAAAAGTCCTGCTGGTTTAACTGTGTCCCCATTTAAGCCAGTAATAAAAGTCTTAGCTTTATTGAGGAGAGCTCCCAGAGAAAGTGGCTGAGTTCAGAAACATCGGGGGTGTGAGAAGCATGGTTAAAAGGATGGGAGTGTGGGAAGCACAGCAATATCTCCTGATATGAGCATCACGAGGCTTATCACTTTAGGCCCCAAAATCCCAGTCAGAAGCACAGCTTCAATGCTCTACGTGCAGCCCACATCCCTACAGAGGCAGACACAAGCTCAGAGATGCATTCAGACCCTTCAAACCCACTCACAGACTACATAATCTCATTTTCAAAACAGTCCCAGGGTGACTACAGCATCCCAAGATAAGGAAACTTCAGCGCAGCTTGTTGCAACTTCAGTGTAACTTGTTGGGTGTTTTCAAATACCTGGGAGCAATGATTGTGCCATCTGTTTATGTTGAAATGTGGGGCTGTAGTGGGGGCTGTGGCTTGTACAGAAGGAAATGCTAGTGAAATGGGGTGGTGGAGGGGGCAAGTTTCTGATAGCAGGGACTAACCAGACTGGACTTTTCCCAGAGCTGTTAAATGAAACTAGTGCTAGTGACCAGGGCTGCTGCGTGTCCAGAGCTGTCCTCGCCTGGCTGAGGGGCAAACAGGAACAAGGCACAAGGAGCGGCGTGGTTTAGCCTTGTTTAAACAGACATTATCCTGCCAGAGTCCTGCTCTACCACCAACGCTTCTGCTCTACAAATAATTAACAATAGAAATTTGTTATTCTAACAACACCTTAGTATTTATATTTAGAATTTTTTATGTATATTTATCATTTATTATATTGCTATATATTTATTTGCATAATTATATTCATTTATATAATGATTATAGTTATATAATTATTGTAAATAAATAAAGTGACTCATAGTTTCCAATCCTTGTTCTAACAACACTTTTTTAAAGCGACTTTCTGGGAAACCAGCGCAGTTCTGTATGAAGAACTCTCAGGCAAGTTTTGGCTTACTTGTACTGCGTAAGGGCAGAGGAATTAGGCTTTAAGGAAAGGAAGAGTCTGGCTTCAGTTATAAGGCCACAATGTCGTGATCTTCAAACACCCTTGTTAAGTTTATACTGTTGGTATGTATCATGCTGATAGAAACTGTGATACTTATTTCTAGGCAAACTGGTTGGAAGGCTGTGGCTTTCCGTTTTAATTATGATCGCTCCTGCTGTCTCCTGGCAGCTTGGAGAGCTTTGAAGCATCAAGTTAGTGGTAGCAGCCGGGTGGTATAGAGAGCAGTTAGAGTCTGGTGTTGCTGAAAGTGTTCCTTCTCTGCGCTTTGGCTGCCAGGTCACGTTCAGGGTTAGTAATGCTATTGCTTTTAAAACACAATGAAGATGAAAACTCATGTGGGAAGGAGAGAAAGAGGTGAGGGCGTGCATGATCTGGCTGGCTCTCCACTGAACTGGTGGTCTGTGACCCGGGGAAATGTGTGAAGCTAAACCTAAGGTGCCGCTGCGGCTGAGCAGGACAGCAGTGGCTACCCAGAGGCGTTGGGTCGGAGCCCTCGTACCCCAGGGCTCAGGGCTGGTTGCATGGGTGAGCAAAAGGGGCCCGAGCACCAGAACTGCCCAGCGGCAGCAAGTCACAGCTGGAGCTATGCACCTACCTCTTCCCCAGCACACTTACTGGGGAGGGAGGGAGGGAGGAAAAAATCCCTGCGGTTCACTCTAAGTACTCGAGTCAGGATGCCCCATTAGAATCCTAAAAATGGGCGAAAAGAACTCCTTTTTCTTACATTTCCATTACAAAAAAATATCGTGGTAACAGGCGTTCTCTGTAAGTGTTTGGGACTTTCCTAATTTTTGTAAGGCTATTTTCCTAGCCTGCATTTCCCAATAAGATGCTATGTTTATATTCATTCTGCCAAATCCCTTCCTTCCTGTTTGTTCAAGCACAGACTGAGTCCTTTCTCTCTCTCTCCTATTATTCCAAACAAAGCATTTATTCTTCTTCTTTTCTTTTTTTTTTCCTTCTAAAGAAAGGAAGTACCTCTCCCTTTCCTATAGCCAAAGGTGACTTTCAGAGTGTTTTGTTTTGATGAATGATGATCAGAAAGCTGGATTTCAAAATGGTTTTACTTTTTCTTCAATACTAAGATGAATGTCATTTATCTTTGAAGACCATTGAAATGACACTGCACATAAAAGAGTCCATAAGGGAACAATTAAATTGGTTAAAAGCTTATTTTTTAATGGCTGGTAGAACTTTGTCCTGGTAACGCTCTGAAAAAGCCGGGCATGGGGGCTAGCGATGCCCAGAAGGCAAGCGGGTAGCTGGGCACATGCTGCCAGGGGCTGCAGCCCAGGCGAGCCCCTGCGGCCCCTCTGCGGAGCGCACCGAGCCATCATCTGCAGCGTCCCTGTGCCCTGACCTGTCTGAAAAAGTCCCACAGCCAAATTAGAAAAAAGATAAAATCAGCTCCAGTGTGTTCACCCAGGGGCTGCACATCAGCAGCGTGAGACCCGTTGGCAATATTGGCATGTCCGGGTGTGCTTTTTTATCTTGAACTAATAGACACCGAAGGAGTTAAGCATTTGAATAAGGCTGTCAATGCAATAGCTACCATGCTTACTCACATTTTGCCAGCTTGAATGCTTGCCCAGTGTTTATCAGTTGGCCGCTGCTGTTTTGCATATGTTTGTATCTGCAGCAGGAAAAACCAGTAAACCCCAACTCCCAGTTCTTCCTTGAAATGCAGCCTCTGTCGCTCATGGCAAGTGGTACCAAAAACTCCCCTCCATCTCTTCTCTTTATCATTAGATGGCCAAGCACTTCCTGTAAGAAATGCCTATAGGAAACTTTCTTGGAGAAAAAGAACCCACTTCACTTTCTACAAGAAACACTCAGCTAAAAGGAGATGGCACGGGTAAGGGCTGGAGGCCACGGGCAGGAGACGCCTGTGCCGGTGCTGCTCCTTGTGCCCCCCACAGCATCCGCTCCTGCCCGCTGGGGCAGGCAGGACACGCCAGGAGCTCAGCTCTGGCTCGTATGGCCACAGGCTGCTCCTGTACACCTGTGTTCTGCTCGCAAATCAAAGCTTGTTAAAACTCCAGCGGGCTCCAAATTATCTTAGCAGTTAATGCTTTGGGAAATGCTGAATCATTTCTCAGGCACAGAGCTCAAATTCAAGTCTTGGGAAATTTTATGATTTAAGGTAAAGACTTGACACAGATCCCAGCTCATTATTATTACTAATTTACTGCTAATTTACTGTTACCATCATCTTCCTCCTCCTCATTATTATTATTATTATTATGTGGCACTATAGTTGGGGGGGGGGAGTCTTTAGCTCCAATTATTTTTGACATAATGTATTCAACTTATGGTTTCCAACCAGAAGAACAGCACAGCACGCATAGCACCCTCTGCTCCCTATGCGGAGGGCCTGTACCATTAGGACAGCGGTGCTGTTGACTGCCAGCGTGGCCGGAGAGGGACCCAGCAAGCTCTCCACATGGTGCTGATCACAGTGCCTACCCCTGGGCTGGAGCCTTTCTGGGGTGGGCAGCAAGGGTGAGGGAAACACCTGGAGCAGAGCCACGACACAGAAGGACACAACCTGGATGCTGGGCATGGTGGCTTCCCATTTTCTCATTTTCCTCCTCGAAGGAAATAACCTTCAGACCGCATGCTTAGGAATGAGCTCATTCGTGAAGGCCAGCTCATGGTGTGCCAGCGAGCACTCAAGGGAAGAGACTTACTGATTAGCCCTATTCTGAAATTTTTGCTGATCTTTTTCTTGACTTCTTTTTCCTGAGCTGCTGCCAGTATTAACAAGCACTTGTTTGGATTTTTAGTCCTCTCCAGCCTGCTGACATGGTAGGTCAAAAGGATTTATTTCTTGTTTTAGTGGAAATCCCCCACTCTCCCACAGCCTCTCAGAAATCCAAAGTTATTTAGCAAAGTTTGTTCTCTGCATTTGCATCAGCCTTTTCTTCCCCCCTGACCCCGCTCTCCATGGAAGTGGTGTCACCCCTGCCCACACGAGAAAATCGCACTGGGTCAAACCATCTTTTGAAGCAACAAAGCAGTACAGCCAGTCTGAGTTTAGTGTAGCTCGGCCTATGCGGTGACACCTAAATAAGCTGCTAATAAATCAAAGCAAAGAGTCTACGGAGATGCCAGCCCCAATCTTTGCAAGTTGGGAAGCCCTCCTAGGAGGTGGGTTTTTTCCTACCGATTTTTGTTAGCTGGATTGGGTACTGAATGGAGACACTGTGAAGCTGTGGGCTCCCACATGGCTCTGCCTGGGAAATCACAGTCCATAGATGAGCTGGGCCACCAACACACCCACCTTGAAATTTTACT